CGGCGGCGCTGTCTCACTGCAGGGGGATAACGATCTAGAGGGAAAGGGAGAGGGCGTTCGGAGGAAGAGAGGCTGAGGAGGACACTGAACTGTAAGTCAGTAAGAACCTGCTAATACAGTTCTCAGCAGGAAAAGCCAGAACAACTTCTTGTTTCTCCTCTCAGTATTAGCTGGACAATGATGTATGTGGCTTATTCAACATAACACAGGGCTTTGCTACTTAAGGAGGAGGTATTTATCACGTGTGTTTACTTGAAGCGCTGTTGACTATAGAATTGTGTCTGCACTAACATTACTAGGCAAAGTCACGGCACATTACCACAGCGGGGTTTTATGCTTCTGCTCACATAACCTTAACAAGGTTTTTAACAAGGTTTTATCCTTCTGCTCACAACCGTAACAAGGGTTGGTTTAATATGCTCTGGGACAACCAGCTGTTACTAACATCAATTTCTCTGAGACTTGGTTACATCAGAAATCAATCACACAAACAGGAAGTCATCAGCAATAAGAAACACAAACTGCTTATTCAAAAGCAGATGATTTCTTTTTTGTTGCTATAATTGCTGAATAGGCAGCAGTCTTTAACAATTAAGTGGCACCAATCTCTCAATATAGTAAAGCTCCACTAATGTTCTACAAGAGAGTAGAATATAGGGTTTGAGTTAAAATAGAAACTGTTCAGCCACTGAAAAACTTAAATTTTCATAAATCCTTTAACATTCTGGAGGACTAAGGTCCCATAAATATTTGACAGAAGACTTCTGTCTTCATGTCCACAAATCAAGAGGTTTTGCCTGCTTCTGGATTTTCAGTCAAGATCTGGAGCATCTGGTTTCAGAGATGAGAACAACTTGTTCTGCCTCCCTCTACTAAGCCCTTATCTCTTGGTTCCATCTTTCTGCTACTTCTGATGATTGTTTTGACACTTTTGACTCTTGCCTATTGGGAAATACCTAGTTACAACATTAAGACATGTCCACCCCCAAATCTTGTAGGATTGTCACAGTAACATTCTGGAAGGCTGCAGCTTGGAAGTCCAAATGATGCTGAAATAATCTTGAAAGTCACGCTGCCAAGCTTTCCTCCTAAAAGAAGTACAAGTCTGGTATATGAGTCAGGAATCAGAGCTGAAACAAAAGGACTATTAGCCAGCATTTCTGGGCATGACAGTTGCCATAAAATATCACATCTACTGTCTATGATCTGTAAACCAGAAGGAAAAGAAGGTCTAGTTAAACTCTACCAAGTGTCTTAATATCTTTAAGTAGGAGGTACCATGCAAATTTAAGATATTAAACTAGAACTGGTTCCCTTTCATCCCTTAAGGCCTATGGTGGAATATGTGTTTTGAAATCCTAAGGAAAATGATGACACCTTTTGAGTACAGCTCAGTAGCACAATCTGGTCATCTATGTGCAAAACAGAAGCTTATCAGTCATAAACAGTTTGAGTGTGTAAGGTGTTTACAAAATCAACACTTTTTTTCTCAGATTTAATGTAAAAATCTTACCCAGCTGCTCCTTGGTCAGGTACTTTCAGGAAATCTAAACTTTCTGGTTGCTGTGAAATCTTGCCTGATCCTCCTGACAGCTGCCGTGGTAAGGTTGGTCGTGTCATATTTGTATACAGGTTTTTCTGATTGGCCCGTTGATTTCCTGGGGCATGGGCAAGTGGTACAAACTGTGGGGGATTTATTACTCCATTTTGCTGCTGACCTAGAAGTAAATAAAGTGTGAACAACACATCCAGTCCAAACTACAGCTCAATAAAAGGAACCTTTTCCTTGTGTTGATGGCTCAGCTGTGAGCAAGACTCAGCTATCAAGAAACTTGAAAACAAAATAATGTTGAAATCTTCAAAATTTGATTTATACACAGTTTCAGGTCTGCTGGCAAATCTATTTTGGGTTCATGTCTTCATAGACTTGTGCTCGAGTATAAGCCATGTGCCTTCAGTGTTACAAGCAAGCAAGAGGATTAGCTCTCAGCTGAATTCAACCTTACTAGTGTTAGCTAGAATGTAACCACCACACCTCTACTTCAGACACTGCATAAAATTTTATCCTGATGAGGGTTGATCTAAAGCTAGCTAGAATTGCTGGGGGGGTCTCTTTTTCTTCTAAAGTTCAAACTCTGTTCAGCTCCCTGAATATTGGGTAGACTGGTTTTAAGTTGCTATAAATTTATATTTTAACAAGCAAGGGGTTTTTCTTGTGGGTTTTTTTGTTTGTTTCAGTGTGGTTTTGTTTAAAAAAAAAAAAAAAAACAACTGGCTGCTACTTCGATAGCTCAAAAGAAGTTTGAATTTTCTAGGTGATGACAAGAGTAAATGGCTTTAAATAATTACACCTCTAACCTGAATATAAAACAAACCCACCTATATCTGAGCTACCTGCACAATCAGGGCTTAAGGAGGTCAGTTCTGCACACTTTACATTCCTGAAACTGCCCCTGATTCAAATGGGAGCTGTGCTTATATTAAAAATCAGCTTGCTTAATGTTCTCCTTTTTCCATTGTGATTATGCCTGTTGAAAATTAGCAGAATGAATAGCTGTGCAGAGAGGAAAGAATCCATAATCATGACACTGGGAAAAACCTTACTGTATTCTTTGCTTCTGATATTCCTTGATACTGTGGCAGAGCTTAAGTAGTCACAAACTCATACATAAAACTCACTTGCAGACCCAAGCTAATATGGCACATGCATTATGGTTATATAAATAAAGGTTCATTTTGTTCTGAACATTTATATAACAGTCTGTTCAGCAACAGGACCATTAATTTCAAAACAGATATGAAAACAGCAGAATACATTTCAAATGATCAAAGATGACAGCCCACAGTGTTACTTCCCCATATTGTGAGGGCAGGATGGAGAATTGTTTGTGACTTCCAAGGAGGAATATGCCCAAATCATGCAATTGCCTCAGACTCCTTGAAATTCTGGACAATATAATTGGAACTCTTTTTTAATACCTGTCTCCATTCTTATTTTTCCAGCTATAATTGGCTACTTTACAAAAGAGTTTGAATTAAATAAAAAAGATCCAAACAAAAAAAAACCCCCATGTTATGGTAATTGATTTGAGGTTGGTATGAAGAGACTTCTACTCACCTTTTAAACATGACTCTAATACAAAAGGGTCAACACAGCATTTAGCTTCAGCAGTTACTGGACACTGGAGTGTGGTTTCACGGGTCCATGAACACTCAGTTCAACTCTACAGCTGAACCCTTGAGACATGCTGGGTCAATAGAATATTGTTCCCTCCTCCAAGTTCATAGGCTAAAATGATTTTTTTCTCTCTAGGGCAGAGGTGAAACACCCTAATGACATCAAGCCCATGCAGAAAGTTAGCCCAGTGTCTTGACACACACATAGTCAGGCTGTTCTAACGAGGCCTTTCTGATGACCTGTCTGTCCAGGAGCTTCATGAGCACTGGGCGACAGACCACTGTGCTGCAGGCATGGGCACCCTCGGGTGCCTGGGACATGCCTGCAAATCTACATCCAAAGGCCTTACCTACATGAGGCAAGTTTGGGCTTGGGCTGCAGGCACAAGGCTTCTTCAACCGATTTTTTGGTCTTTTTTATGTAGCTATAAAACTGCCAAAAGAATTTTTGAAAATATTAAAACCCACTTTCCTGATCAAGACTGGTTGCACACCCAACTTAGGCCATTAGCACTGTGCTTCTCAATAAACAGCAGCTGACTGAAAGAGAACCCTTTGTTAAAAATAAGTACTCTAGGAGCGCGAGTGAAAGAATAACTTGGGAAATGTTGAGTCAATGGAGTATTGTTCTCCCTTCTGAGTTCACAGGCTAAATTAATTGTATCTCTCAAGGGCAGAAGTGAAACACCCTAATGACATCAATCCCATGCAGAAAAAGCCATGCTGCTTACTGGCACAGCTGATAGGCCACAGCACCCAGCATACACAGAAGCTGTTACAGTGAGACATAAATTGCATTCTACTGTCTACTGGTACCAAAAGCAGTTTCACTGCAAAGCATTTTCTATGGCTTGGTAAGTGTGGAGCTTTTATCCTTGAAAGGAAAGTGGAGAAGGGTATGGGGTTAGTTTTAGATTCAGTGTCTGTCTTACACCGAGTGGCTGAACATGCCAGTGTCCATGACAACCAGGACACCTCTGGTGGAATAATAGTTTGACTGTCTGCAGACTCCCAACAATACACTTCATAAAATACTTACAATGTGTGTTTTCTAGATGGAATCTTTTAAAGAGGATCTTAAACCTTTTCTATGATTTTTTTTAATTGGGTGAAAATTACTAGATGACAAGAGTAAAGTGAAAGCCTGAATTTGGAGTTTTGTTTTTGCCTAAGGCTAAGAGGACTTACCAGGAGGTGGTGGTGCAGCTCTCATAGGATAAGTCTGACTTTGAGACCTGTTGGAATACCCTCTACTTTGGGTAAGGTTCTGTCTGGTAGGACCTAAAAAAAACCAGCAGCATTCTGTTACCCTTTCACAATTACATCAGTTAGCAAAGTCCTTCTGGCTGCCAGAGCCCTACTCTGTGATCAGAAAGAGCTCATCTTCAGGAACTGGACTCCTACAGTGGTGGCCAGGTTGATCTAAAACTTCAGGTGCAACAAGGATGCCTAAGGTACATTCTCTCTTTTGTGGCCCAGTTCAGCCATGGGATATAAAGGAAAACTGTCTCAAAACCTACAGTAAATGAGGCCCAAAGGACCATTAGCTTTATGAACTTTTTTCTAACCCACAGAGAGCTGGCACAGCCCTGCTTTTGACTCAGCACTTAGTATGATCTGAAGGTAGAAAACAAAACCTGAGAGGTTGGTGTACTTCCAGCTCAATCTCTGGTGATATGCAGAGGTTACCTCTCCTCCTATCACAGCCTGTCCTGTGTTGACGAGACCTTTCTTCGTCAGCCAGGCTGCAGGAACTGCAGGAGCTCAGAGCAGAAAGACACTTCCCCAGAACACTTGGCTAACTGTGCCCTTTGTCACATGATCACATGTCCTCATTTCTTCTGATGCAGGGCAAAGAATTTCAGACACTTCAGAAACAGCTGGTAGATAGTAACAAAATTCCAGCATGACTGTAAAGCAGTGAGGAATTCTGTATCATCAGGATCCATAGCTTGGATCTTTTTTAAGTTTTACAGACTATGCTGTGTCTACAGGCAAGTAAGGACAGAGTCAACTATTCTCTAAATTTCTAAACCATTCACTAATTTCTAAAGGAAATTCATACTTACGTGAATTCTTTGGTAGCCCTGGTCCAATGCTGATCTGCAGCACTTTATTACTTGGCTTGAGAATGGCTATATCTCCTTGACCTTGCACAAAATGCACTTGTCGAGAACCACTGCTGCTCCAGGGCCCCCAACTCTCCTTTTTCAGCTTCACCTCAAGTCTAAAATAAGCACATGAACACATGAATAAAAAATCTGAAAGCACTTCTATGTCAAATTAGGACACTATCACTTGGCAGCAGATAACTTAGAATATAAAAATATTATATTTTAGACTGAGAATCTGTATTCCCTGAGTGACTTAGCTGACATAAACCACCTAATTAAATCTCTTTTTCATGCTTCTTAAAATGTTCTTAATTCATGTTTTAACCTCCCTGGTAGAGCTACTCAAAGGAAGTTTTAAGATGCCCAGGAGAGGATGGAGATTGGAGTGAGCTTTGAAGAAGAGCAGAGATCTAAGAGATGTGTCTGTCAACAAACTCCACTGCCTCTGCAGCAGACTCTACTGGAGCAAGCTGCAGTGCTCCCTTCCTTCTTCTGTATATCCCGTTAGATGTATCTACATTAGATGTGCACATACACATATACACATTGGCGTGGATATGCCAATATGGGCTTTAGGAGTGGGTCTTGTGCATGTCTGGGAGTCAGTATTTTTGCATACATATCCTTCAATCTTTCCAATTTTAATTTTTTTCCACACACATCTTTATTCTTCCCCAGCATTTTCACACTATCCATCTGCTCTGAACTGTACACATATATGAGCTAAGGAAATGATGGTTTGATTCTGGGCAAGACCCCAGAAGTATAATACATTATATCTTGCACGAACAAGATTTACTCCTGGTACTGGCTTTGGATTCCCAGGGTACAGGAGCACACACTACAGGAATATTCCATGCTTCAGCTATTCTCCTACACCCTTTCCAAACCAAACTAATAATCTCTTGCTACCTTTCAGAATTCTTCCACTGTTTTGAAGGAAATAAAATAAACATACAAATCTAAGGCCTACTGTTGCTAATCTGCTTAATGGGTAGGAGTGTTAAAAAAGCACATGTTTAGTGGGGTAGTTTCCAGCACATCCAATAACTAAAATGCACATCACTCTGTAGCTCTTTGGGCTTGTTTCTAATGAATGTTTCCAATTTAATTTACTTGATGAAGTATATAATTTAGAGTTATGCTTTCACCCTGCAGTCCTCTGTCCCCACAACAAACTCCAGAATGTCAGATTGTTACATGTGTCTCCAGAATTGTCTTACAAGCTCTTCATCGTGATGTTTTAACTCGTAGATCAAGGTCAAGGAGTTGGAAGAGGATGCCCCTGCCCAGGACAGCCAGCGCAGAGGGAGAACCTGGGCTCTGGTTGCACGTGGGCTGTGCAGAGCCTGGCCTGACCCTGCTGGGGGCACTGGGCTGCTATTTTAAAGCACTCACTCATTTGCCTTGGCAGCAAGAACAAGGATTATTTAGTCTTAAAAGCCCATTGAAAAAAACATAACTCACGTATTGCTAAATTTCAGAGGTAGTTTTCTTTGTGTTTTCTCTTCGTATCGCTTTGATAAGAGGCTTAAAAACTCAGTTTTGAAGACCGATTCAAGCAAACTATCATACTCCTGTTCATGTAGAATGAAAATGTCATCCTGCATGGGGCTGAAAAGAAATCAGAGCATATACCCTTCAGATTAAAATTTCATCAGCAAATACAGCCAGCATTATAATGACGTATGCAGAGTACCCATGGTTAATTTTTAAAAACATAAGAAAGTCCAAGCAGCACTAATTTTAGAGTCTTGCTTTTTGAGAACAAGTTTGGGTTTTTTTCAGTTGTTGATAATGGAATATCTGAAACAATCCTTTTTGAGAGACAGGAACACTACTTAGTCATTTTACAGTAATTACAGTTAGCAATAGAATATGTGCTATTAAGGTTACAATTGCAGTCCATCTCTTCAGTAATGGCAAAACTTGTGATTAGAGGTGAATTGGAAACTTGAAGGGTATTAAATTAAGACTGAAAACCAAAGCATGCAAATTCAGAATGAAAGCTTTGAATTTTCCACTGGCTTTATCTTGGACTGGTTTAACACAGTATCAAACTCACACATGTTGGGTTCCATTGCCACCTTTGGATTAACTCCTGTTTACACCTGAAGAAGCTGCAAACCACTTCACAGAAGATGACCCACATCAGCCATTTGCAAGGCTGATTCCTGCCCTTCCAGAATCCCCAGAGTAAGAACAGTTCTGTCACATCCTAGCCAGGATTACTTTGTTCCAACATGCCTGTAATTTGTTTATATGTGTATCGTTCTTCCTTTTAACAGCATGTTGGTGTACCTCCTAGCTAGAACTACATTGGTGCCTGTCTGCTGCTGCACCCTCTCGACAAAGGACGAAGTTTTCCAAATAAAACCTAAGACCTGAAAATGGTGGCCACGGGTCCCTCCCTTACTTCCTAACCCGAATAGCACACAAGCAACCACAGGATGTTCTCCTTCAATTTGCTGATCCCACAGTAAACTAATTGTATTTTGAAGCTGGTGAGCATCCTACTGGATGATTTTACAGAACCAGGTCACTGCATGGGAGCACAACACAAGATCAGACACAAGAAAATGGCAGGAGCATAGCAACCAAGGGTGGGGACAGCCCGTGGGCAGCCACCCACATCTGCATTGATTAGAAGTGACAAGAAACCTCTAACTTCATGTGTGATTTCCTAACCAGTTTAAATCAAGTCAACATTGTTGTGCTGTCAGCAGGGGCAGCCTTTCCTCTGCCTCTCACCCTTTTAAATTTATGCGCATTTCTGTTCCTTCCCTTCTGTTAGAATCCATCCCTGGCCCTTTCCTGGTAGATTAATTTTCTACTTCCCTTACTTTTCAATGTCTCATCCATACCCCCCAGGCAGCCACCCAAGTGCTAGTTAGTGTAGGAAAATGTGTGGCTGGGAGAAGAGATAGCACAGGACTTCTCACAACTGTGCAGAGCTGAGAATGGCTTAATCTTATCCCAAAGCAATTATCCCATCACCGGTGTGAGACTCCACAGAATGGAGTGCAACCACTGAAGAAAGGAGCATTAGTTAAATATTGTTAAGTATTCCTGACAGAAAATGGGTGGCTCCTTCTCAGGGTTGTTTAGTCCTCCACAGGGAATCTGAAACCAAAGCCTCTCTGCTCTTTTGTCAATCCCCTCCATCAATCTGACGCTATTAGTATCAGAAAATACTATTTTATAATAGCAATTTATTTCAATACATCAGATATCACTCACAAAGTAAAAAAGGCACCCTCAGTTTGAATTTCTCTCTGAAGAAACGGACCTTTCAAATCCTGCTGGATTTAGAATTAACATTCATTACAAGTTTTCACTGTTTTTTCTGAGAAACAGCACAGTAACTCAGAAGTGTGAAGGTCTGCAGTGTAGTGATTAAGGCTGTGGAAAACCAGGCAGGTGGCTTTGGCAGCCAGGTTGAAGAGCAAGCAAGTTACACACCTGTCACTAAGAAACAACTTCTTCCAATAGTTTGCATAGCAATACATCACACAAAGAGGGTGCTGGTATCACCGAAATCTATATAAGTATTGCTTCAACATTTCAGAGTAACTCCACAAGTAAATTAATTATAGCATATAAGGAATTCAAAGAACATTCAGCTCAGGGGGGAAAAAAAAAAAGCCTCCTCCTTCTGTCAGAGAAAATTAGGCCTATTTGCCTTCATCAGTATTTTCTGATCCTAATTACCTAGCAATCAACTAGCTTTCCACTTTCACATGCTCCTCCCTTTTCCTCTCCCAGCTGGCCTGCCTGATAGCTGACTTTATAAACCTGAAAGCAGGGAGCAGACCTACCTTTCTGACCCTCACTTTTCATCTTGTTACTGAAGACTGTGGCTCCCTCTACAGACTGTGAGTAACTTTTTATACAGAAAACAAATAGCTTAGCTGTTCTGCTAGAGGTGTTCTTGACTGTTAGGTATGAAATTATGATGCTAACCTGCTTGAGGCAGGTGCTAAAAGATGAGCTGTATCACTACCTGTTTTTCTAAAAATCTGTCTACAACCTGTGCACTCCATAATCTCCTTTCAAATTCTGAAATCTTTCCCTTAGCTTGGAAAAGGGTGTATGAAACTACAAACTTACCTAACTAGTATTCAAAAAAGCACTAATAAATCCATAAAACCAGAGTAAGAGCATATCCTCCTTCCCTACCATCAGGCAAATCTAGAGCCTCAGCAAGGTTCTGAATGAGATGTCCAAGAAAAGCCCAAGACGTACAGTAATTATTATTCAGTCAGTAGTCCCATTTTTGCTGATTTGGCAATGAGTCTGACTTCACAATGGTGTTAGGATGTCCTGTGTCACTCCTTACCAGATGAATTATAAAGCTAAGTTATTTATTGTTACTAAACAAACAAGAACATTTCAGTTCTCATTTGGTGTCATTCTCAGTACTCTGAACAAATTTCAAGTTGGGCATTTGCACTTTAAATTGCAACTCCTTTAGTAATTTAATTTGTTATATAGTATTAATTGCTATTAATACATGTCAGCGATGCTAATTATTGTGTCTTTACTGTGTACAAGTGTAGGGATACAAGCTTACCTCAAGATATACTGTGCATTAGTTTCTTAAAGATACCATTTAGATAGCAATGCAAGAATCCAGTTATCCTGTCTCTGCTTACGTTTAAAATGTATTTCATTTTTTACCTATGTAGTTAAAATCTAATATTGCATGAAAAATAGTACAAATAAGAATTTAAACTTATAAAACTTCGAGGCTGCAATACAGAGTAAAGTGGTTTGAGAGACACTTCAGAATCAGCCAGAAACGAATTCTCTTAGAGGTGTGGGAAAAAATATAGGGACAATAAACAGGAGTTTTGAAAACACACGAGAGAAAGCACGTTGGAGCTAATACAGTTTTTGCTTTGAGCCTGATGTCTGAAAACTGCTTGGGGTCGTTTTTGGTGGGTTTCTGTGGGTTTTTTTTGGGGGGGTGGTGTTCCCCAAAAATACATAGTAATACATGTACTAAATCAAGATTTCAGTCTAGTTTTACTACTTGAAGACTGTTATAGTTTTACAAGTGCTGACTCTTGTCACTGAGACAAGATTATCTCAGATTTGAGAGAAGCAGTAACTGTTAACAGCCTCTGCAGCCAGAGCATTGTATTACTACTAAGTCACTTCAGTACAGAGTTAAGGGATCCCTTGACTAAGGCCCATACTCACATGGTAACAGGGAGGAGTCCTCTTGCCCCCACAGGGTTTTTTAAGGTTTGGTTTTGGAGGAATACTGGGACAGTTTGATAGCTTGCAATTCTGAACCTACTTTTAGCATATACAAAACCTAATGTTTTTCACAACAAAATAAAATCAGTAAGCTAAGTTACTAGACATAAGATAACATACATATTTGCCCCGAACAAAGCACATTTTGTGTCGCTTCAGTAGGTTCTTTGGCTCTCTTATTTACATGCGAGAGGATCGTAACAGCTTTCCCTGACTTGGCAGGCAGCTCTCCCTTAGCTGACACAATGAGACTGTGCCTTCGGAAGGCTACAGGCCCAGTTCAAGTGCCTGGCTGCAAGCTGTTTGAGGTTTGCACAGCACACAGTCCAAACTTGGAGCACTAAAGAGACAGGTTCCACTCTCATCTTTAACCTAGATCTACTGCAACCTTCATTACAAAGATGTATGAGAAATAAAGTACATATTTTGAAAATGCTACTGTGAGCAGACACACCTTGCAGACCTTTCCCTAATCTTGAAATGGTTGTGAAGAATTCTGCAGAAATGTGAAATCTGCTGTTTTTAAGTACTGGATAACGTCTGTGAGAAGATTTCTGGCTATGATAATGGGAATGTTTTATAAGCATATACTAAAAACCCCTTGCAGTAGCTATCAGTACACAGCACTGAAGTGTAGACTTGTTAAAATAGTAATTTATTTCAATACTTAAAGTACACTTGTTGCCCTGGATTGGTATTTTTTGGTACTAAATTACTCAGCTACCAGCTCTGATGAACTGCAATAAGAAATGCAGAGGTATCCAGACTTTGTTCACCGATCTTCAAAGGAGTAAAATGACATAGGCAAGATCCACTGGTCTCATTCTTCCTGGTTTTGCTCACCTAATTGGGTTTTCTCAGCATTGTGTGGACACCTCGAATATTTCCTGCCACCTGGGATTGGCCTGACAGTCAGCAGAAATGATGCAAAATCCAACTAGAAATAAAGGTTTTAGTAGCTCACCAAAGAGAGAACACCCTTTTAGGAAGCAGTGGACATGTATGAGGTGTACTTCTGTAAGACAGAATTATTTCTGGGATACAAGCTTGAGCCAAAACTTACTAAAACCTACTTGGGCATGGTGAATATATACTTCACAGAATACATACGAGCTAAGTGGGACCCAGTGTAAGTGAAACACTTTAACAACTAGTCAGAAGACTTTTGTGTGCTGGCTGTAAACATAAACATCTATTGCTATAACATGCTTACTAGGGCTGGGAGTGAAGATAAGGTTTCAGCTTTCTTTGTTGACAAGATTCAATTCATACAGATTAAGAAATTCACCCTTCATCAATCAACTTATTTTCCCCCACCATCCTACACAAATTTCTCTGTCAATAGAAAGATATTTTCAAGGTACTGACCTCAGAGAAACAGAAAGAATTCTTTCCACTTCCATCCTTCGCTTTAAGACTTCCTTCACTTGGCCTTTCTCTGGACCCTGCTTTATCTTTTCACGCCCAATCAAGTATATGCACTTTGGAGTGAGGACAAGATCTCGCTTCACGCTCTGCAACACAAAATTGTTTGAAAATACACAGCTCTGCAGAGATCAATGCACTAATGTTGTGATGCTGTTCCAAAGAGACAGAATGTACTATGATTTGGTGCAATGCTGTTAGTCTTTGGTTCAAGTGAAAAAATACTAATGTGATTAATAACATGAGCTCAGTCAGAGTCCTGCACAGGACAGGAATGCAGCTTTGTTCCCCGTTTCCTAACCAATGTAGCTTTCTGCCCATTTCCTAACCATTGTAGCTTTCTGCCCAGCAAGTCCCATACAGCCTTCATCCTGGAACAATAGGTTTGACAGGGGCAAAGGTCTGATCACAAGGGTCTAACTGCTTCCCTATGTGTCCTTTAAGTCAAAGACACTTTTTTCAAGCTGGTATCCTAGATGGTATGACATTAACATGGGGGAGTTTCTGTTAAAGGATGGTAAAGACATCTGTAACTGCCTAGCAGAACTAATCATTAGTGGACATTGCTCTTAAACCTACCTTAAACCGTCTATCATATTTAGTTACGGTGTCTGCAAAATCAATCTTCTCCCGTTTGCCCACAAACTGGCGTAGCTCTGGATGGTCCTCCATGCCTATATAATCTCCCACAAAATTCCTGTTAATGCTGTTCCGTCTTCTCTCTTTCTTATTCAGCAGTAGATCTGATGCTTAAAAAATAAACATGGATTAACAGTATTTACTAACTTTTCTACACTCACAATCTGAAAGCACTCTGTTTTAGGCAGAACTTTTTGGGAAGAAGGGGTAATCAAATTGTTTATAATATGGAAAAACAGTGAAGCACTCCTGCTATATAGAAGGATCCATGTGATCATTAAATCCATTCCTAATGAAATACACTGATGGGGAGCTCAGCAGTTCTGATGGAATCAGGAGCACCTCTGGAACTAAGGGATTTCTCACTCACTGCTGGAGATGAAAGATTAACTCTTCCAAATCCAGAACATTGTTTATTCACATAACCCAGGTCACACATGCAATTAAGCATTACAGTCCTTTGATCTGTAGCCTCTAGAGACCATCCAGGTCTCGTACAGCTGTGGGAAGTTTTTCCTTTTTCACTTTCCCTGAAACATCTCTGATCTGTCCTACTCAGTCTGGCTTTTTGCGAGCAAATCACTGGGCAGAGCAGCCAACCCCCCCATCAGGGGTCCAACAATTTGCAGTCATTCCTTGACAGTCATCTGCAATGCAATGGTTTGCTCTATAGAGAGGGCGATTCTCCCTCATCTCTTCTGGCACGCCTGTTCCTGGAACCATGTGTGACGCATCTGTCTACAGAAGTTATGACCTACCTTCTTCTCTCATCTGTACATATTTCTTCCTGGCCACGTACTTCCTCCATGCCTTCTGGATGGCCCTGGCATACCCATCATACTTCCTCTCTCTCATCTCTTCTAACAAAAATAGCTGTACAAAGAGACAGTAGGGTGGGTCAGGCATTTGATGTCAATAGCTCAAGAAAAGGTCTGTTCTACTTTCAATGGCCTTCCAGTGCATTTGACTCTAGATCCAAGCTGGTGCCTCCACCACAACTATGGGATCTGAGATCACAATGTCAAGGTAACCACTTCTGGAAGAAATCTCTGATGCTTGAGTGGTTCTGGCTCATACCAGTCTCCCCATTAATACTGATACCCAACGATGAAGGAAGAGGAGTATGGATTCTCCCTGAAATATGCTACTGGTGCAACTCAAAGCCACGGGGCATCCATCCAACCTCCATCTCCATGTTCTCCAAAATTCGTATTTCTCTTGTCAGAATGTTACCATGTCGATGGGAACCTGTGCTCTGTGTAACATAATGCACTGTCGTCACGTATAACTCTATTTTCTGTCTGAATTTCACGCACTCGTGTCCACTGGCTTCTATTCTTTCCCCACAGGGAAGTTTGTTGGCCAGCTGCAGGATTTACAACTCTGATCTTGTACTTTAGTATGATGTAGTAAGATTTTTAAGTCTAAAATGTTGTTGGAATTCAAGAGGAAATGCTGATTTATCAAAACAGAAATGGAAGGTGAATCCCTTTTTTTGATAATTTCCCAGGTCTCACTAAAATACAGGCAAATTTAATACATTAGAACTTCATAATTATTGTAGGATACAGCACATTTTACTATATAGCCTTTCATATACTTTAAGTTTAGTTACAAGTTTTCTTGCCTTATCAGAAGCACAAGCATTTGGCTAACAATTACAGTACTAAATCACTCCACTGACATGACTGTTGCTTACTATTTCCCTCCCCTGTGTTACATATTCATAAGGACTCTTCTAGCTTTCAAAAGATATAAAATTAGTAAAAACAGGTATATCAAGAAGCAAACCTGGACTTTAGGATCCTTTTTTAAATTTGCTGCCCTAAACCAGGCAAATCTAGGAAAATACTGTTGTTCATATTGATCTTAAAAAGGAAACTCAATCTAATGCAAACCATTTCCACAGAACCTCACTTGCTCTTGCACAGAGGTATTTATTTGGGTGTTTGATGGAAATGTAAATAATGAAGCCTCCTTTCTGCCACCCGTAAAACCTTATTTCAGTTGGCAACTCTCCCTCTACAACAAACTTAGTTTTAAATAAAATCTCTTCACAAAAACACACAAGCACTAGATAGGCTTTCAGCACACAGGTACAAATACTCCCGATGCAAAAACTTCCTCAGCTTCAGCAGGGGCATGACCAAGCCCTTGTGCAATCCAGGTTACAGTAACAATGCTGATGTCCTGTCTCATGAATGCTCACCATTTATTTCTCTAACAATAATGCTAACTGCAAAATCTCATTGTAAAATAGTCTGTCACCTGCAATTGAAGGTCACAATTAAGGAAGTTTGAAAACTGAGTTAAAATATGGTTTGTAAATTAAAAACACTGCATAAATTCTGTCCTAAAATATGTATTACAAAGCCTCACCTCAAACTCCCAAGCAAATCAAGTCTCCTTCATCTGATTAACCACAACAGGTTTCTTTGGTCTTTCTTTGGTGGTAGAAAGAAAAGTTGTCATATACCATCTAAAATATTTTTCTCAAAAGTAATATAACCCTAGCCAATACTTTAGTAATGTCTTTGATACTAAGAGATATAAATCATGCTTTAGAATATTCAGCTCACAGAAAATTTTTTTACTTAAATGAAAAAGGCCCAGACTATTTTTAGTTCTTATTTAAAATTCGGTTTTGTGGCTTTAAAAAAAATATATACATGCAGTAATTGAAAGCATGAATTTAAAATAAAATCAAAATGCAACCCAAAAAAGTTTTACTATTTCCAGTCAACCTCATGTTGTCTTAACCTGCAGAACTGCCCTTCAGTAGAATTCACAGATATGCCATTAAATAGCATATACATTACCAAATGCATTACAAAAATGCATTAGAATGGGAAGATGCATCCACTGGAAAACAATTTCTTCCTCTGGGAAACAACCTAGTACCTATATTGGGGTACAGAAGATTAACGTTTTGGCTGCTTCAGAGTGAAGGAGAACTAGATCCATTGATCCTATGTGAGCACTTGGCTATTGAACAGAAGACAGACACCAGCAAATCACTTACTACTTTGAAAAAAGCAGGAGTTAGAACCACCCCATCTGTGAAGGAAGAATGGCTGCTGAAAATCTGTGCTCTTATAAGAGGCAAACATACTAAGCTTAGGGTATTTCAGCAGCCAGGAAAGAAAAATAGTTCCTTATATGATTTATTTCATAAAATTGAAAAAAACCCTTTAAAATGTTTGATTGATTTATCCATAAGGTAGCATAACATCAAGAAAACAGCCATCATACAAAAACTATTTTGGTTTCTTCCCTTAATTGTTTCTCTCCCAAACTGAGGTCGTATTTGGCTTGCAGCTAACTGCAATGAATGGCATGCATGCAAAATAATTTCACAGCGAAAACAAGAAAATCAGGTTTGCTACAGTATAAGATAATGAATACAGGACTAGAAGATGTTGCTTAAATTACTAATCGTGGTTCCTTGTAATTACCAGCAACTAAGTTGTCTGTATTAATTCAAATAGACACTTGACCAGAATGTGCACTCACCACCACCCTATAATAAACTTGAGGTCATCAGTAAAGGACTAAAAGTCACAATTTGATATCTATTCTTGTGAAATCACAAGACATCCACTAATGTCCAAGGCTATCTCACAGACTTTGTAAGATAAAACTCTCCAATAATCTTAAGAAATAAATCATGGCCTGTGCTACAGAGGAAGGCAGATAAAGCCCACACTTCCCCATAATGGCCCAGCTAAGGCATTGCTTGCAATGACTAAGTAGGATTATTCCTAGACTCAAATTTCCTGCTCTGCCAACATGCCCCCCAAGTATTCTAACAACCTGCATCCTGAACACTATGCTTTAACATATAAACATGCCTCTCAGATGCCACAAATATAAAGTCCCATTGCTCCTTAACAGAGATGATGATATTTTACCCTATTTGTGATAGAAACAACATAATTTCAATTAGATTTAGAGAAGTATCATCTTTTTCCCTTTAACAGCTATCTTCCCATGTGATTAGGCACAAATCAGTGCACACAAATAGTTCAGTCTACTGTTGCTCTACAGTGCAAAAACTATGTTTCTGGAAAAGAAAATGATAGCAATAGAAGTGTTCTGTTTTTATTTTGATATGTAACTTCAGGTAAAGCACCAAGAAACTACCCTAATGCACAACTAGACAGTATGCTATACAGGCTAAGCCCAACAACTTCTGACAAATAAGGAATACCTGATGGTGAGTAGAGCAGAGTTTCTTCCTTGACAACCTTCCTGAATAGTGATGTAAGAAACTTTTTTCCATCAGATTTTGTGTAGTTTAGCAGCTACAGGATAAAAACAGCCTTAAGATGCCTCCTTAATGCTCTCTTTGAATGGGATTTCAAGCGGCAGTCATTCTGGAGCACTGATCTACTCAATGATACATAACATATCCTTACTGTAACTGGGGACTATTCTGTTTACATCGCTAGTTCTGGTAGTGAGAAGAGGACCTATTTTCTTGGGCTAATGGTCACAGATATACATTCATGCCATGATATTAGTTTCTTCATATGACATTCTCTTACAGAATGTTGACATGTGCAACCTGACACCAAAGCATCTTCATATCCCACCTCCTTTTCCTGATGCATTTAATGCTCCTTGTGTTAGCATCAAATCCATGCAGGGTCCTTGTGTACTGTTACCATTATAAACATGCCTAGTATTCCCGTACAGCCTTGAGGCACCTGCCCACCCTGAACTTATATTCTTATGCCTCTCCCACCTTAGCAGGTATCGTGCTCTACTTCTGAGTGGGCAGGCCTTCTACCTCAGCAAAACAGTTTTCATATTTAAAGACAAGTGTTCTGCCACACTTACAGACTCTGGAGCCTTGATGAAGACTTTGGATTTCCCAAGCTGGTATTGGTCAGGATCCATGTTGACTGACTGAAGCAGGTGGAGGACTCCTTGTTTCTCCTCTCCTTTCCAGGAAGGCCAGGTTGCTTTTGTCAGAATGGCATACCTTAACCACCAAGGAGAAGACATCAGCAGCAGAAAACCACTTGACTCTTAGTATTACTGTGGCAGGAGGGCTGACAGTTTTGGCAGGACTTACAGAAGCTTGGAGTGTGGAAAGATGCACAGTATTAAGATCTTACTTGTTTAGTAAGACCAAATAAGTGCCACAAGAGGGACAACAGTGCCCAGAAGTCTCCCATTTCCAGACACTAAGTTACTATTTGGTAACTATAATGGTTAATTATAGAAAGTTCTGCTATGATCTCCTTAAGCACAGGGAAAGGTTATTTACTAGTAATGACTTATGGTCCAGACTGAAGTACCTGCATACTTGGTATTCTAGATTCATTCCCAAGTCTGTGGCCAAATTCCCACTCAAGCCTTCTCTGAATGGCTTATTCTTACAAAGGCCTTTTCTGTTTCTAAGCAAGTGCCCAGCTGATGCTTCTAACCCACCTGTTCAGCAGTTGGTCTGCATTTAGCAGGGAGCCATTCTTGGCTTTATCCCAGAAAAGCCTTTGGCTTGGCCTCTGGTAGAAGAGGGAAGATGTAGTGATGTTAGTGCTACCTAGAGGGAACACTGGGAACTGACCACACGAAGGGTGAGGGAGGGAGCAGGGAAGTGCTATAATAATGTGCCTTTGGTAGGAAGAGCCGAGTAGTGTTCTGACTCATGGTATACTCTTTAAGCCTTGAAAATGTGGTGGATGCCAAGCTTCAGCCCCTTTTAAATTGTCCACTTTTTCAGGCTTAACTTGGGCTTTTGGAACTGCCAGGCTGGAGTTACAAAGCTGCCTTGTTCCACTGCCCATCAGGGAGCACTGATGGGCTTTAGCTGCCTTGGCATGTCTGTGGTAACTTCGCTAGCAGCAGTTATTTGGACTCCTTTGACAATGAGACTGGAGAACAGCTAAATATGTTGTGACAAATCTCTTCCTCAAATCTTTCTTTTATGTTCTTTACTCTTGACAAATTTTTTAATGCCTTAAGCATACTTGTTATATAAACTAAATCATGCTTATTAGTAAAACTATTCAACTAATGAAAAAAGTGATGAAGCGTGGATTTCAGTTTGTAATTCCCAAGTTCTTATTTGTTAAGACGACTTAGGTAGCTCTGAAGAAAATGTTTTCAAAAATCACACAAGGAATTGTTAGAAAATTCATTAAGCAAATGTTCATTACTCATTCTTGTATCTAAGTTGTATCTAGCCAGGAAGCAGAAACAGTGTCATGCAACTTAAATAACAATACCACACGAAGAAAAACAGCAAACAATTAAAAAGGAATGTAACACAAAAAACAAACGCCTCTGAATAGCAACTGTATGAAAAGAGAAAGCTAACTAATAATTCAGTAGGATTCAGAAGGATCTGCTGATGTGATGTTCATATCTATTATTAGTTAACAAATGCTCAGGTACCAGGTATGACAGCTGTAAAAAAGGAGCTCTTATACCATCTTAAAATACAGAACTACATGCATGATCTGTGTTTACAGACAGTGTGTAAACTTAATATTAAAGTAATTTATCGGTATTATGGGATAAACAAATGCAACCTAGTAAGGAGTTGTAAGTTAAAGCAACTCCCAGCTTATCTAACAGCCTCTTCTGAAAGTTCACCATGCACTGCCAACAGTGCAGTTGTAGAGGTGGGTCTAAGCAAGTCTCAGTTTAAAAGGAGCTGATGTTAATAAAGCCATTTGAAACTGCTACCTTCCACACAATAGAATCTGACACTACATTTCACCATGTTAAAACTCTTTCCTGCATTATCTGAGCTGTAAAGCAGGACACAAGGAAAAACATGACTTAAGACCTTTTAATATATGTAAAGCTCTCAGGTACAAAATAACAATAGATCTTAAATTTTCCTTTTTCATAACTCAGACTAACTTCACACATCTTACTGGTGTGACAAGTCAAGAGGGCAGAACAGATTCTTCTCTAACATGTACCAATTAAGCATTTCACAATTTTATAACATGACTATTCTACCATTGTTCACTGCTGTTCAGAAATAGCACTTTCCTGTCATGTACTTGTGTATGCTTCCCATTAAACTGGTCACGTCACTATCCATAGATCCAGGTTTTTCAAGCTTGTGTAATCTGATCTTAGAGGATTTCCGCACAAATACTATATGTGTTCTTAAAATGCTTCTAAAACAGTTTCAAATCATGACTACCCCCCCAATTATCTATTAAATTCACAGTATGCAGTTAGGTCCTATGTCTAAATATGGGAATATGGAGTTCAGCTTTCAGACTGGTTATACTTTGAAACACACAGGCCTTTTCAGTGACTGTGGCTTTTTGCATGCAAATGTAAATTTTGTACATAAAAGTCTATTCAGCCCAGAAATCTCCACTTATATGGAGCTGCCAAGGAACGCCCAATGAAAACAAGTGTACAAGCATGCATTTCCTGTCCATCCCATGCCTCAGCCCCCTTTTACTCACACTGACTCAGGGTGTCAGAACAGAACTTGTTCTGGATGCTACGGAACTGTGAATGCAAAGGTTGCAGGAAGAGTTTTACTCATAACAAAATGCTAAGTTTAACAAGTCTAACTTGAAAAAAATGGATGAATTTCATAAATGATTCAGTTGTCTGTGGATCTCTACATATGAAGTACAGAAATCTATTCACCTTCCAGAAGTACCAAGCAGCTCTCCTTTGTGCAATGAGGCCTCTGAGCTATGCCTGCAGGCAGTTGGTACTAATTGCTGTAAGGAGCCTCAGACAAGAACGTGCCCAAGGACATAATTTTTGCAACTGTGATGGGGACATTCCAGACAGGGCAGATAAACCAGCAGACACCTGTGGAAACCCCTCAGGGACTCTTCCCCAAACAGTGTATTAACATATGCATTAGATTCTCTGAAAATAGGTGTGTAATTCTCAAATTACATGAATATTCATTTTTTTATTGTATATAAGTGTGCCCTTGTCTTTCGGCATTGATGTTAGGTGGAATGATCCCCCGTGCATGCTGCGCTGCAGTGAAGAACGCCTGCCTTCTGAAACTTCAAACTAGGTCTTAGAGGGTTCTTTTGAGACCAAAGTTACAGTAACATGCAGACCTCTCAGGCAGATTTCTAGACCTGCACAGCCCTCACAACCAGTACTCCAATGACTGTAAAGGCTAGATTTAATGCACATAAATTTGTTATTCTGCCTCAGCAACAGTCTGTGTTAACTAATTTGAGCTGAAGAAATTAACGTTTACATGTTTGGGCTTTAAGATCGTGAAGAAAAAGGGATTTTAAGTTGTTGCATAATGAAAATTGAGTCCATACCTGAAAACATTTTAGGTCTGTCTATTACTAGATGATTAGAACATTCTCTGTGTTATGAAGTATTATCAGTGGCTTTGTGCTGTCTGATTAATTACACTCCAGTCCTTACAACTGGTTGTTTTTTTTGTTTTATATTCTCAAATGTAACACAAAGACTTCCAACAAAAGCTGATTTGTCATGTAATGCCCCAGTGTGGGCATTTATTAGCTGTATATCTCAATTTTCTAAAAAAAGAAGCTGAATGTTGTATAAATCTTGAAATTGATCTTAAATAAGAGGATTTCATTAGCTAGTGTAGTTCATCATCTTAACAGCTTGTCCTAAGACACTGAAAAGAAGATTGGTTGTACAGAGCTCTGACTTGCTTTCACACGGTGAGCAGCTGCAGTGGTTTGCATTGTCACCATTCCCAGCTGTGTGACCATCAGTGGAAGGACAGGACAAGCAACTGAAGTCAAGGTTACTCTTTACACTGAAATGGCTGAATGGCAGGCATGTATTGCCTCACCCATCTTCTGTCACTGGCAAAGAAGGGTTGAGAGCACTTGAGCAGTACCATTTTAAACAAAGGCTAGCAGCTAGATGCTCAGATTCCAGGCTCTGCAGTTCATAACTCTAAGTTCCCTTAACTCTTCTTAGCTTTGAGGAACCTCTCACAGCACTACAGCAAGAACCGAGGTCTTCAAGTTCACAAAAAATGAAAAGACTTTCGAAGACACAAAGCCAGTCTTTAAGACACTTTCAAATCTGTGTAACCTAGATTGTGAACAAGGCAAATGGAGAAAAAGGAAAGGGTAAGTGGAAAATGAGAAGCTTTCAAAACTTGCAACTTATTTTCCTCCTCCTCACATAAACAACTGTGCTGTAATACTTCAAAATTAGTATTACTCCTACCTCTGCAAAAACTTCTTGAAAACCCGCCTGTAGGCATAGCCAGCTCTTCTTACTCGAATATTTTCTTTCAGACCCAAGTATTCCACTTGATGTTTTACCCTGTGAACAAAGACAATGCAAGACTTGTAGTCCATTTTATTTCAGCATATTTGTGGATTGAGGTATTCTTAACAGTCTGTATCATCTTTAAAGACTACTGACTTCTAAAATTCATGCACAGGTATGTGAATCTATTCTTGCACCTTACCATGTGCATGGTAGGAAAAATATTCAAGGCAGGTAGACTACATTACTGAAATACATGTAGCATGTTTACCTTAGCATTTTTTCCTATACTAATTTCCCATCTCCTCATTTATGTATAAATTTCTTAACTGATTACCCATAAAAGGCCAAATAACTGTTAGCTATACAACCACACAGCTGGTGCCCAAAGGAGGGGGAAATTGTTTTGTGTTCTTTTATTGTCGGTTTCAACTAAGTTTTACATAGCTCAAACATCAACAGTAGCACACAGTAGCCCTTTTTGGTTGTTCTGGAGAAGGAACCAAAACTGATGGCTGGAGAAAGCCCCAGATGCCAAACCTTCATTGCAAAAAGAATCAAAGAGGAAAGCCAGGCCAGTATATTCACGAAAATCTCATACTCCTCCTAATGTTATCATGCTGCAAAGGAAGGATTGAGGATAGACACAAGACTGGCTGAAGCATGCCTGGTAACCTTGTTCATGGCACACTTCAATAACAAACAAAAACTGAGCTGGTACCTGTCCCAGGGAAAATGTTAATGGCTGTGGAGGGACCCTGCTGCCCATGTGAACCGAAACATCATTATCCCAACACTGTTACAGTTCCCTCATGCAAAACGTGTTCATCTAATTTCTAAACAGGCAAAACATATGTCCAAGTAAGTCTCAAAACAGAAAAACATCTAAAGAAAAGTTTCCTTCTGGCACCTTTTTCCCCTTTCTGGAGCTGCAGTGTGTTATTTTATGTTCCTTTTTACACATCCTGCTACTCTACTCTACTCTTCAATGCTTGGAGATCTGATTTGAAGAGTTTCAGTTCGCTTCCTTAACAATGTGTAACTCTTGTTTTTCTTTGCATTTCCATAATTTCCTCATCTAAGTCATGTGCCTGGAAGAGGCAATGTCAGTTTTTAATTCTGAAATATGGTGTTCTTTCTGTTGCTGTTCTTTCATAGGGCAAATGATAGAAGCTTTAGGTTTCAGTCAGAAATACAAGTTAAGATTTTAGTCCTGCAAGCTTAACAAACAGCGTATAAAAGAGTATTTCTTTACATATAATCAATGTCAGTAAGCCTGTAAGGAGCCATATAATTTTGTTTTGCTATTTCTTTGATTTTACAAGATTTTTTCAAATCCTGAAAACCTCTGTTAATTCAATGTTATTTCTCTAGCTATTTTTAAATGTTAGATTTCAATATAAAGTGATTTTTTTCCCTTTTTGGTTGAAACATTCTTTTCACATGACTCATGGTATAAAGGGAAAAAACTTTTGAAATCCCACGATACAAATGACAAAAGCCCTTCAGTTATTTCTTTTTAAAAAACACTTGAGAGGTATTTTACTAAGTGATGAGTGATACTGCTCTTTTAGCTTATAATAAAGAATACTGCACACTTTAATCTTTGTGTTCAAGGAATAAAGTATATTTTGTACCCACTCCAAGAATCCTGGTACAGTAGAAAGTTGGTGGACAAAAATACATTTTCCTGTTTATAACTTTCCCTCCTGTTCACATCTGGAATAATGCACTGGAGCAACAGTATTACTCCCATTTTCTTACTCTCATGCCAGTATTAGTGTCCAGCAACAGAATTTGAGACATTTTTCTGGTTTTCCTTTTCTTTCTGAGAAAAGGCACACTGAAAATCTCGCTCCAGGCATCAACCTCAAGCAGGTCAGGGTCTGGGAATTCAGCTAATACAGCAATTTTGAATACAAATCCAAGTGGCTGTGCCAGGACCTGAACAAAAACACATTTCAAAAACACCCCAATTTTTGGAATAACTAAGGTATTATACAAGGTTTAGGTATTACATAAGGTCTGTGTTTCAGTGCTAAGTATTCTGTAATTATACAACAGCAGTACGAAGCTGGAGTGACATGGCTTCTGTGAGCATGAAGACCTGCTTGGGGAAGGTTTCTTTTTTCCCTTTTGCAGTAGTATTTTCATCATGTAGTAACATACTACTACTAAGCAGATTAGACATACTACTTGTATCACACTGACTATAGCAGCATGTGTGTGATACAGCATTACGTGATCACAGAACAAATCCCCCTAAACCTACATTCAGCAAAGTATCACACACCCAGCTGTTTTGTATTTCTCTTAACACTGAACTTTCTCACAGTAAAATTGTGAAACAACAAAACTGTTTAAGGTTTCATATGCATACAAATTACTTTTCCCCAGACGTTACTAACTGCTGCAGCATATGTATCCTATGTGAGGTCCTAGTACAGTACATGGGAAGTCAGTCTGAAAGGAGAGATGATGTTGGTGTTTTTCAACGGGATGAAGGATCACCATTATGAAAACTACTTCCATTTGTATCTGAGTTTGATGGTACACAATTCTTTGTATTTTGTTATCAGTAGCTGCTGCATTCGTCAAGTATCATCCTCATTATGGGAAAACAACAAATCTTGCCCATTTTTGCTCCAAAACAGGTTTCCTGAAAGCTGGCCTTTTCACAGGACTAGGTTTTGGGGTTTTTGTTTCACTGGTCTCCTAGCAACACCTTCCACAATAATAGACCTGTTTTCCAATATGTAAATGACTGATTTTAAAAGCCCCTCAACTTACAGTTAAAAGTTTTAGACATACTTTTTCCAGGATCACTTTCCTCCTTCGGTCCCTAGTGTCAGTGGAAAATTAAGTGCTGCATAGCAGGATTTTCAGGGGTGGAAAAGCTAGAGAAAGAGGGTCTACATTTACTGCCAAGAGCTAAATGACACTTTCAAGTGCAGTCCCAGTTGTGGCTTCTGTAAGTGCCCTACATCTGCATGCAATTGTGCTAGTCTGCATGCCAAATGGCAGGAAGTGAATTCTGGTGTGGTGTTGATATGGTCAAGAATGCTTTTTATCAGACTGACTTTTGCAAGTTGTTTCAGTGTGACAAAAATAGCCCCTTGCTTTATCAGCAGTTTTACCAATACCAAAAGTACTTGATATGCAGTAACAAATGTTCTCTATATTAGGACCTCACATAGTACATCCCTACTGTACTGATCACCTACCTCAGTGCAAAAGAAGAAGAGTATCTTTTTTCAGATAATAGGAAGATGCTGTAAAGGATCATATAGTTAAAGATACCTCAAAACAGATGCAGTAAACCAAATGGATGATTTAGACATTTATTTAATATCTATATAACCACCCAATATGATATTCTAGTGACTTCTCTTTAAAGAGCTGGATAATGAAACTTTAAAGTCAAAATGTGAAAAAGGGACTTTCTATGTTCTTGACCATGGACACTTTTTGGTAAGTTTGATACATAAAAGCAGACACAGTTATCCTGTTGGCTTTTTTTAGCTACCTAATAGAAGCTGTTTTTCAAAGCATAAAGCAAAAGTTAGAACTGATGTATAATGCATTTGGTGTGCAAACTCTACAAGGGAAAACAAGTCTGTAATACACCAATTGTGTTACTGTTATGCAAATGTTGATTGTTCCTAATTGATGTGGGAAAAGCCAAGAACTGCACATACTAACTGCTGATTTAGACCAAGTGACCACAGCTTATCTTCAAAGCTGAGAATAGCTCATGCCAGATTTCATTTCTGAAGGTTTTAGAGTATCCAGTTCTGTTTCTCTACAGGATGTATGATTACAAATTGTAAATTTTTGTGGCTTTTTTTGACTATTAGTACCGCTTCTCATCACATACTCTGCTTATCCATCCATACCTGCTCTCCTCCCAGTCTCGAGACTTCTTTGTTTCATTTGGTTTGATGCAGCGGATGTAATGGGGTGTACACTTCATCAGGGTGCCAACTAGGTCATTTGCTTGTTTCTGTAAAATTGAGGAAAACAATAATCCTGTGAGAGAATTCTAAACATTATCAACCCTCTGCTAATGATTCAGATGACTGGATCTGGTTCACTTTGGTGTTTCTCCAGAACAACTAAAGTGTCTTGGGATAGTAAGCAACCTTATGAAAAATGAATCAGTACACAGAAAGCCCCATTATCTCCAGCTATGTAATATATTTAAACTATTATACAAAAATATGGAGTGACAAGGAATGCACCAGGTGAACTTGACTGTCAGGGTGAAGTATGAGGAAAGAGGCTGATAAAATACCGATTTGCAGTATCTGCAAGTGTGCAATCTAAGCATACACTTTACAACCCAACCCCAAAGAGGCTTTTCACACACACTGCCTTATTCAGTGCAGGCTATGGCCAGCAGAAAGACTTCTGTTGACTTCAGGGGGTGTTGGATCAGGCCCCACTGCATTTCTGCACTATAAAGAGACCAGTTATCTGTAGTTAATTGTAGGACATCAAGTGGCTGAGTGAAGGGGCTCATTCATTATGCACATGCAAGTACTATTATCACTACCATCAAATGCTCGTTTGGAAAATTCACTGCTGTAGAATGCAGCTGAACAAAACATTTAATGAACAGTGACACTGGGCAAAACATGATTCTAACAGCTGAAACAACACATCACTTTGCAATCAAGATACCCCTGGTGTCTATCTTTAAAAACGTCTGGACAGTAAACACCAGCAAAGACTACTTTTTTTTTAATGTAGGTATCCCTACACAAACACACACCCATATGTGCACATACAAACACAGAAGAACTAGACATACTTTGATTTTACTGCCTGCAGTGGTAGGACGGCCCTTCTTGTCCACTTGAAGATTTTCAGGAAACAGAGCCTTTATAAAAGGCCTAGGAAAGAATTAGTAACATAGTGTTGGCATAGGAAAACAACAGGAATGTCAAGGAATATGTTGTAAAAGTTGAGAGTTGAGCAGAATATAAATAGCTACTTCTATTAATCTGTAGTTATATCAAATCTATTTTAAGATTAGTATTTTCCATGAGCTTCATTCCTCACAGAGATCCCTTGCTATTTTAGTGAGCCTTGGAAGACATGATACCAGGCTTCTAGACTCAAGTGCACGCTTCTCAGAAAGTAACCATCGATTAATTAAAACACATAACCAAAAAATGTTGCTTTATATGTTAACAGTGCCTGTTCTGAGAGAATGCCCAATCACTGATGGCCTTGTTTGACGCCAAAACAAATGGCTGTTGTTATACCATTTGATTCTGACACTGCAGCACCTTATTTACTCAGATTTGCAGAAAATGGAGGTCAATATAATGCAAGTGATACTGTTCTACTGTAGTGATGGCTTATTTATACTTTTATACAAATGTGTTCACAAGTTGCAAAGCAGAGAAGTCAGGCTCTCTGCATCCATCTGAACTAACACGTTATTCCTAGCTTTAAGCAAGTTTCGCTTACGTACAAATCACTGCTCTGCATGAGTTCAATCAAGTCCATGAAAAGAACATCCCGATTTCTCTCGCAGAATCCATCCATATCATAAGATACCTGGGCCAAGGTGGAAATTGATTGTTTGTGGTAAGTTGAGAACCCAGTAATTAAAATAAAATTTAAATTCTGTCCTCATCAGTAGCTGTTCTGAACTTTCTGATTAGGCTGGTAGATACTACATTGATCACTAAATCCTTGCATATATTATAAGTTAACTCTTTCACAACAAAGAATTTTCATCCATATATTTAAAATCAGTGAAAAAGAATGTTATGAAGCTAGTTGAATTGAATATGACATAAGGGTATTTAATTCTGAATTTTATTGAAGAAAAATCTTTGCATAATAAGGGTTTACGAACTATAACTACACGCAATCATGAATAGTCAGAAATATACCTGAAGGAGTTAGAACTGTACATTATATTCCTAGTTGTATTGGTATATTGTCACCTAAGGATCTTTTTAATATCCGAGTTCTTTAAACTTACTGCTACTATAACCAACAACTAAGATTATCATTAATAAAAGATGGGGTATTTATTTATTACATTTAATATTAAGTTCTGGTTAAGTTTGATAGCAGCAAGGCTCAGACTCATTTCTCCTAAGTAAGGGACCTGTGTTAGGGCATATTTGTTCTAAGCTCCCTACACTGTGACAGGAGGACGCTGTCTCCTGAGATAATCTGGTTACTTAAAAATCAAAACAGCTCTCCAGGGCTTCCTCCTTTCTTTGATTACTATTCTTTTTCTTGATAAAAACATTATGCAGAATTCAGTGATGATTTTTCACATTACCTTTCCAGCATAATGATGAATGATAAATCCCTGGTTCCAGCTATTGAAATGTTCATGAGTCCCAATTTGCATCTGGAGTTTTTGAAGCAGGGTTTGGTCAGCTCCTTCTCCCACTGCATGCATTGTGGCACACACATCATCTAAAATACTCATAATTCCTGGGGGATTCTAATGCATTGGAGAACAATAACAAAACCAGTAAAAGTGAGGAAAATGTTATGATGCCAGTTTTTCACCCCAAACAGAAAATTGTCTTTGCTACTGAAAAATTCTAGAGCAAAGTCACAAAGGAAGAATTCCTCCCCCCTAGTCAGAAGAGTTCACAGCAGAGATAAACTATCTGCACACTTGTGTACAATTTAAAGGAGCAATGCCACTTCGTGTAAGGATAGTGACGGTGGGAAATGATGGGGAAAACAATGATAGCTGTTAAAAAAACAATTCCCAAAACACAATTCCTTCACAAAGCAATCTTCCTCCTCATTCCACCAAAAAATAAACCCATGTCTGAGCTATTTAAACTCACATGCTGTAGTTTACAGATAGGAGATGGGCAAAATCTGATGTGCATTTAAGTGCAAGTCACTATAGTACCTGAACTACTGTTACAATTATCTGCCTTACATGAGGACAAAGAACTAGCTGAAAAACCACCTACTTCTGTCTTAAAGAACGTTTGATGTCACCCCAGATCAGAACATAAAGACTTTAAACTGCAGAACGTTATGTGGAGCAAAGACACGAAATTTCTGTTATCTACATCATCTCCTAATAGTTCCTCTTCTCTTGTTTCTGCTTAATCTGCAACAGTACCTAAAGGAAACAGGTATTGTAGCTTCCCCAAACTAAAATTCATCTCCCAGGGACACAGAGAGTCTTATCTGATGTACAGTAGCATATGTTGTAAAGTTTGTGATAAATTCAGGTGGATAAAATTTTAATATTTTTTTTTTAATTTATTTTTTTTTTTTTTTTGGTCACACATCAATCATACTACCTTATGGTTCTCTTTTTGGTCGATATCTTAGATAACATATATCTTAGATGACATATCTTAGAGCTCTTATAAGACATCTTATGTAAGATTTATATATAGGCTCAGTATGACTCAGTAACTGAACAACAGTATTTGCATTTTTCCTATGAATGTTCTTGACAGCAAAGCAGTTGCCCAAATATTTTAGAGAACACCTTGTTGTTTTTTCCATCTGTTTGTTCTAAATACTTACCACTTTGTTCTCTATAAGGTCACACACTATTTTGTTGTTAAAGTAATCTATTGGTGTCCATCTAATTCCTTCTTGCACGTATTCTTCCTGTTAGGTAAAAAGAAAGATGCAAATATTCCTTTGCACCATGGATGTAGCACTGGATTTACAATGCACTATGTATATACAAACTCTGCACTCCTCAAGTGCAGAAAGACTTGCCAAATGTGTGCTTGGGGGAGGTGGGAGGAATGGCCCTACTGGCAGTTAAATCCAGCTCTCCACTGCCCAAGAGATGAACAGGAAGCATTCTCCCCAAACATTCTTTTGTCATTCATAGCCCTCGAGTTACTGAGAAGAGCAGGAATATTTCATCAGTGCATTTATTGTCAAAGCACTTTGCAAATAGGAACGAAGTGACTTTTACGGTGTCTTGACAGTGCACCTAAGCATCCATATCTTCATCTATTTTAAAAATTAAGATTGTGACAGGCATATCAAGGATCAGACCCCCAAAACACCACATTTAGAAATGGAGACACTGCTCTACTTTTTATTTCTGCACTCAATTACTGTAACCATAAAGACATATAAGAGACTGACTGGGGAAAAAAAATCATACTAAAATTTAATTAAATGAATCCCCTCAGCTGCATACATATGAATTCAGCTAGACACTTAATAGGTCATTTGTGTGCTCAACTGCAATGATCAGTTCCTTTTATACAAAAGCAATTGTGTATGCACATTCTTGAAAACACTGTCCTAAAGTTGGTGCCAGGCCTGAGCTCATACTGTACACAAAGCTTCTGTCTCAGCTGCATTCTGTCTGCCCTCCCATGCAGAAGCTCACATTCATGTAAAATGAGATTTTGCGGTGAGCAGAACTGCAAATGATTTCTGAGGTATTTCTGCATTTGTCTCAGTAATCTCTTTCATTCATATATATATATATATATATATAAAAAAAAATTTTTAAAAGGGGGTGGAGGAAATAAAGAAAAGTATTCCTATGTGTGTCATGGCCAACGAAAGCACAGGGATGGAACCAGCTGCAGTTTTCCATTTCTGTCAATGAGTCAGAATATGCAGCAAGTCTGGGCAGTCATATGACTTCATTAGTACACGATGGACTCCCTTCTGTACCACTGCAGGAGAGAGTAAATGTCTGTAGCCGATGTGGTTCACAGCTTTAGAGTTAGCCAACAACAAAAACCTTTTTTTCTTTGCCTTACTTAACAAGGCAAATTATATTGTTAGCAGATGATAAACCCTCTTTATTTTTTTACCAATTGAAAAATCAATTGCTCATTTATGAATTAAAAAATAATAAAAGTCTGGTTACCTGTTCTGCCTTCAGTGTCAGTTCAATAAAAATCTGCTGTAGTTTTTCATTAACAAAGTTGATACAGAACTGTTCAAAACCATTTTTCTATAGAAAAGGAAACAATTTAAATATTAGTCTCATGCTTTATATACAGCAATACTAAGTTCTTATGCTGGCAATAAGCTTCAAAGAAACACTGTCAGTGATGGATGGGTTGCTGACTTTACAGACATTCTGTGTAATCTCAGATCTTTCTTTTAAGATCAATCACCTAGTTTCTTTAAGTTTCTTCAATACTTTGTGTTTATTAAGTGAGACATTACCAGTGAGAACTCAATGTCCAGGAAGCTAGGTTGGGGTTTTTTGCTTTTATTCTGGACACAGGATTTGGGTTTTTTTTTCTGTTGTGGATTTTTTTCCCCTCTAAATAACAAAAAACTCTCCCAGGTCAGAGATCAGCTCAAACCCTGCATTACCTTACCTGGAATATTTCAAAGCCATAAATATCAAGGACACCAATGTTATATTCTTCATGGTCCTTCTCCATAGCCTTATTAATAGACTAATAAAACAGAAACAAAATGCAAAACAAAGTTGTAGTTTATATATTTAAAAGATATATTCATATACTTAAATCTTTATGTTATAACATTAGGTTTCTTCAGAAAGAATATATTTAAATTGAATACAAATATACACAACAGAGTATTTTACTTTCACTTTTTAACCAATTACTATTAACAGCTAGGAAATGAACAGTAATACTATCCCTTTTCCAGGTTAGTAAGCCTTTGGATCTACTGTTTGTAAAAATCTTTCCCCTTTGGTGTAACTGGCTCAGTTAGAGAAAAAAGAGCAACAAAAAAAGAACAGCTTTAAGTCTGGTACTTGATGCATTTTGCAGATGGTATCATGAATCTTTTCACCAATTTCTGTATTCTCCTACTTTGCAGTGTCAGTGCTAGTACAGGCACACAGTGGGAATTACAGAGCTGTCAAGACAAGGAAGACCAAAGAGGAAACTTCTCCCTCACCTAGCCAGCATCTGTGGCCAAAGGTAAGGCTTCCACCCCTCCAATCCAGCCCAGGGTCTCCTTTAGTGTGGAGAATGGAATTTGACCATTTCCTCAAATGCCACAGTATCAGGATGTTGAAGTGGTTCTTTGCAGGAGAGTAGGGTAAGAGAGAAGAGATGGCTAACCCACTAATGCCGCTCATCTGAAAATGCTCAACTACATAGGAGAAAGTGACACTCAGAGAAGTATGGATGCCGACAGGAAGGTGATGTCAGAATATGTCATATGGGACAGTTGTGGCAGGAGACTGAAAAAGTATAATGCTGAAAGCACAGCTAATTTTCTTCAAAGAAAGTGTAGCATTTGTCATATAATCAGTACTTGGTTTCTGTGGTCATGCTCCCACTGCATTGCTCAGTGCTGCTGCTGAGGTTAAAGACAAGAAATGTGCTGCAAGGAACATTCCTAGTGTAGTTGTTTTGATACTTCAGTAGAATCAAGCAAACCCCACTTACATCCACCAAGTAATCAAAAACACGGGAATGAAGGGCCTTGGCCAGTGCATCCCTGGTGTAGCAGGCTTGTTCCACATTTAGTGTTACATTAATGGACTCGGATTTGCCTCCCCACTTGCTGTCCATCTGTCTGCTGGTCAGTTTTTCCTTTAGGCGGTCCTGGTTAATTCCCAGGAGAAAAGCAGGGAAAGCCAAAACTGCAAGAAAGATCAGGGTTGCTAGATTATCATTTACAGACCAAACATACAGAATGAAGAAACAAAATTAGCTGTATCTCTAATGACAACCAGCAGTAACAAACCTCATGAGGCATGCAGCTTAAAAAGACAAAGAGGAGGGATTAATGTCTTCAAAATTTCCCAAAGACCTTTTCAACTCTTTACACTTACATGGATTTCAGTTAAAATAAAACACCCTGAAGTGAAATAGTCAGCTATTTCTGTACCTTCAGTCCTTTAAACATGTAAAGTGGTTTAGGTCATAGTTTTGACCTCTGTGGTTCAAGCAAATCACTCTTGGAGGAGATGGAAATAAAACACAGAGTTCACACATTAAATAAAACTGACATCACTGGAAATGCTTTGTAAAAACATGGAATGGTTAAAATCTAATAAAGAGTATACTATCTGCTTCCTAATATTATCTCCCTTTCTTCTTCTAAGTTCAGATATTGCAAAAAGTTTTCAATTACCTTGCCATTTATTTGGTTTTGGTTTTTTAATCCCTCATTCTGGAAGGACTCTGCAAATTCTGATTTCCCTTATTTAAAAGTAAAGCAGGAAAATACATCTGTGCAATAAGCAGCCACAAGTCTAGTATTCTTTGCAGATGTTAGCTACAGGTGTCACACACCTTAAGGAATGGAAAAAGAGAAGCGGCTGGAAAGCATAAGGAAATAGCTCCCAAGGGCAGCTCTTGGAGTTGGTATTGCACCTCTGCTGAGCGACATAATCCTCTAACAGTTCCTCCATGTTCCATTGCTTTCAGATCTACTTTACTGGTGTGAGGAGGATGTAAAATAATCACTAGGGCAGCAGTCACTTGTGCTTAACACATCTGTAACATCACAGCATGATTTTGCTAAACCCTTCAGTACATTAATCAAAAATTATTTTTATAACAGCAAGGAACTGCCAGCTTTCTGAAATTTGATTTATTACTGTCAGCAAGCTGATTAAATCTACCCTAGGGTACTAGGAACCACACAACTAACTGAAGTTGGCAACACCTCTGGTAACTCACTGAGAACTCAGGTTGAAGCGCGCATGAAAAGGTCAAACATCATATGCTTCAGAATGCAAAAGAATGTAGGTAACAATCGACCAAGTGTGTTCACATATACTGCAAAGGTGCCAGAATCAGTATTTAGCCAATACTACTGTAATAATTTATGCAGACAACATAATGGTAAGAACAACCATGCATACCTCAGAAACTCTTCCTTCACAGTGCTAATGACTTTCTGTAAAGGAAGAACAGCTGGACAGGACTTGATGGAACTTCACATTCTTAATTGATTATCACACTTGATTATCTTCCGTAGTTAAGGACTAGAGGGTTACTGTCTAGAATTACTATAAAGCAGGATATGGATGTAACTGAAAAAATTATCCTCAAAGAGCAATCAACAGCAGTCTGAGGAATAGTTTTAAATGCAATCTGTGAAGAAAAGCTGAAGAAGACTAGATTCACTTTATCCATTTTCAGGAAGTGTAAAGCAACTCCTTCAGTACAATGCAAGTGTAAAGAGGCACAGTTTAAATTGCTTTCTGCATCCAGGAGAGAACAAGTAGTATTTGGCATGATTTGCAATGCAGAAGATCTAGAATAAATGGGGATTTTTTTTTCAACTATTAATATAATCAAGTACTGTAACATATAGTAATCACTGGCAGTTTTAAAGAAGTATTTGTCTAAACGTGTGTCAAGAATGGTCTCTATAGATTTGATCCTAACTCAGAGTGAAAGACCGGAGTTTTTGGTGTCTTGAAAAATGGCCTTTGCATGTTTTTCTGCAATTGGCTTTAGAATAACCACACTATTGACCAAATTCTTAAACTTTTTACTATTTCAGACTTACACATGGCATGACTTATCAGTGGTCCTTCACTGTATTTTATCTTTTGTGGCAATCCAGGCTATAAACACTTCACTATTTAGTTGGCTAGGACAAAGAGTAAACTGGGGGGGAAGATTAGTGGAGAGAGATAAACCCAACTTTCAAATTCATAATGCAGAAAATGTAATAGACATTGCCATTTCTTCTCTGGCTTCTTTAAAATGCAGTATGTTTATGAATAAGTTCTATACTCATTCTATCTGCTAATTTCTTCAATGTATTATTCATACACAACTTCTGTATTTATATCCCAGCGAGCAAGAGAAATATGGTCTACATGGCTCATGACAGAAATACATTCACATTTACCAACTTATTTTCACCTCAGGTCTTTTCAGTTTGTTACTTTTTGATGCAACACACCCTGTATCTATCTCCTCTGGCTATTAAATGTCTTGATTTCATTGAAATAATACTGTGATTTAAATGGAAGCAGAGTAGCCCATTTGGAATTGTAAGGAATATAAAAAATCCCATATTTTTCTTTGGATGTATAAAATGCCCCAAAATATTTTTCTTTGGGTTCAGTTACTATTCTCTCAAATTAAGAAATTAAGGTTAAATACTAGTAATTTTTGTTTGTTTTGTCCAATTGTTGTCCAATTTCTTAAAAGAAAGAGCAGGAGAGTACTTATGCAGTTGAGTGAGTAGTTAACTGCACAAGACACTTTATTCCTATTTAACTTAAACTAAAACTAAACAAATGCCGTTTTCCTAAACATAAGGACCACTCTGAAATAAGGGTTAAGAGAACTTATAGATATGTATAAGCTAAAACATATGTTGTTATCCACTCTGTCCTTAAACTATCAAGGTAGTATAAAATCAACATTTGATGTGAGGTATAAATCATGACAAAAATGTTTAAAACTCAAGATCTGTTAACCTTTCAACGTCTTGCTCAGATGGGCTGAGCTGATACAAAGCAGCAGGAGGCAAGGGGTGCAAGGACAGTCCATTGAGGATAAGGAAATAATAGGGAAATAGTTACATAGTAGATGTACTAATGGGAATAATTTAGGAAATAATAAGGAAATGTAGTAGATATAATAATGAGGTATGTGTTGAGAAATCTAAGACAGGGAACATAGATGCAGTATGTAAATTCTGCATTTCAATTCAATTCTGAATTTCTGTTTCCAAGGCACCTCTTCTGGCTGACGTAGGTGTACCTATGCCTGAGCGCTGATTGTGTACCTGAGCCAGGGGATACTCCACCAGCTGCAGGTGCTGTCACATGGCAACGAGGCCAGACACACCACACCAGGAACAGGTGTGTTTATCAAGGACAGCTGATGCACTGAAAGGAGCAGAGTTCAAGTCTGCTTGAAAGTGTTTCTCTCAATTGCTATTATTTCATACTCAAAGGCTGGAAAAGGATTTCTTGAACTCAAAATGCAAAATTACATTCCTAAATCACTGGCATTGTACAAGACAAAACAGGGGCCTCAGTACCATTGGTTTTGGAAGAAAATCTAAATTAGCAGCCTCACACTGTAAGAAATGATGCAACTGTGTCTGGATAATAAGCAGCTCAAGATTGCAGTTCACCTTGTGTCTTCTGGGTTTCAGCCCATTGCTACTCCTGTAACGGTTTCCAGAGGTACTTACACTCCTCACTCTCCACTCCTGCATAGTTGCCAACTTCTTTGAAGCTGATGTTTCCCAAATGCAGTATTCCTGCCACTATCTGCAGCACCAATGCCTGTTCCTCTGCAAAGATCCCAATCACATTCATTGCATGCTGGGAAGAAAAAGAAAAAAATAATTAAATCAGTCAAAGAATCTGTTCAATGACACTTGTCATAGAAGTCCTTTTAAAATTTTGATGTTAAAAATCTGAGTTTTTCAATACAATTCAAATACCTAAGGTATCCATTTCACTACAGCCTCCACTCACTGCAGTTTGAAAAGGTACCAGATGTCTTTCCTACTTGAGCATTTTTGTATCTTTTTAAACTAAATACAGAAGCATCTCCACCATTTAGAAGATGTGTTAGCAAAATTAATTCTGGAAAAATTGAAGTTACTAAAAACCAAGCATCTGCTCTGAAGCATCACACTGAAAATAAATAGTTTCGTTGCAAAATGGGAAACAATGAACTTAAGAGACTATGATTTTATTCCTTCTATACAGTCTATCCACAGAGACTAAGAGCTGTGAAGCTGTACTGAATGACTCTAAAAAGCAGCACAGTCTGTCTGGCTTACGCTTCTAATTGCAGCCACTTACTAGAAAATAATCCAGAACAACACTGGGTTGTGGAGACCAAAGTACATGGCAATTTACAGAATAGCTTCTCAACTGACTTTTTCTAAAATACCAAGTTAACTAGAATACAACAGTAACTATTTTTTTTTAGGCCTTTAAATGTGCTACATATATAAGTAAGAAGATATGTTAATATGCTTGTTTTAAATAGTAAGTTTCTATTAACAGGAGACCAGCAAGTTGACATGCCTTGCATAAAGGTCACACAATGAACTGGCAGCAGCACTGGATAAACATCCCTTTATCCTTTCTAGGTCCCTTTCTCCAGCCTTTCAGCTGCACTGTTTCAAATAGGCATGGAAGATCAGTCACCACTAAGAATTCAGGTAAAACAGGGCACTCAGCTCCTCACCGTGTTTGCAATTAGTTACTGCAGATTATCAATTAAACCATTAAATTTAAAAGAACAAAGAAAACCAAAACACTGTTATATAAAAAATATCTATCTTCTTGGCATTGTTAGGCTGCAACATAGGACCTCTTCAGGGCAACATACCTCCTCCTCCTCAGGGTAAAATAGAATTAAAGTTATACCTACATTAATTTCTCTTTTCCACATCAATATATCAATGTCTTTACTACAAATGGACAGTGAAATGAACACGTATTCACCACTATGCAAATGATAAAGAGTAAAAAACTCACCAGTGTTTCTTGGAAATCTGATTTGTCATTGATGTCGTCAACTCTGTAGGACCCAGAGAGACTCAGATAGTAATAATAGTCCATACTGGTAATGCCAAGACCGCTTTTTTGTTCTGAGGAGGCCCCTTCAATTAGCTGCAGATTAAAAATCCCCAGATTAGGTATCATACATCAACCTTCAGCAGAGATGAGGCAGGTCAGAAACAGGTGACTGACCCTGAAATTACTGTGAGGCATATGGCTAGTGCTTCACCAGGTAAGTATCCTTCCTATGTTAATTGTTTATCCTAAAAGACCAGATTCCCATTCCCATGAATGGTTTAGTTCTAACTTCCACATCTAATAAAAAGCAAAAACTGTGACTGACCTAAATGTCTTCCATTATCTTTACCTCAGAAAGATAAGGCAAAAGGGGTTTTCTGATCTGCAATGTACTATCTCAGTTCTCAGGAGCAATGTGTTTTCCATGCCTACTGAAAGGTAGGCAGTTGGAAAAACATGTGAAGAAAGCATTATTTGTGACTCTAAGCGTGAGGTCAAGTATCCTTTATGCCCATCATGACACATGTTAAGCAAGTTTTGAACTGCCTCAATACTATGTAATTGGAAGCATGGTTCAAGTCACGCCTCTCCGCATCATTTAGGCCAACGGTGCCAAGAATAAGTAACAGAGCAGTTAAAAAAGGTTCCTGTATGCTGTGATGCCAGAGGAGAGGCTCATTAGACCTATGTAAAGTCTACACAGTCGTGTACAGACATGGCTGCAACAGGAAGGAATGAACAAAACTTCAGAAGAGAATAGTCAAAACCCCAGTCTTTTAGCTTCTGTGTCAGAAAACCTCTCCGAGGCACAGAGGAAAATCAGCAGGACAGCGCACATTGTTCTGTATACACCTCAGAAGAGGAGAATGCACAGCTCCTGGAGCAGTGCCAGCTCCAACTCAGCTTTCCACCCTGGAAATGGCACTTCAACTTCATGTAAAGCTGCTTACAGTCACTTACAACGCACTGACTTTAGTTTTGTAGAGCTTGATCAACAGCACTTCAGCAGATAAGGAACTCGCATGTCAGGGATCAGTGAGGGCCAAAAAAGCCTTTTTAACCAAAAAAAAGCAGGGGTGCTTGGACAATTCAACAAATAGATATTATCCTAAATGTCCTAGAAAACTTAACTGAGAATCAAATCTCTCTTTCACAGCTGTGCTAGGGAATTTCAGATTAGAAGGTACAATTATATAGGCCAGAAATCTGTTGGAAAGTTCTAATTTTCTATTATATTGTACTGGGCTTTTCCATATGGGAGTTTGCAGTGAATTTCCAAGCAAGGCCCTTGAAATACTGAAGTACTTCTGTTCTGGAGCTGAAAGGCAGCTAGGAAGGTCTGCGTTAGATAGCACCTTAACATGCTGTCAAGCTTCTCAGTGGCATCCAATTACCTTCTTGAGCATACATTCAGTAATCTCACTGTGTTGGGAATGACTTTTCAAACAAAACGAAAAACTGTTCCGAGCTGTTTTAAGTAACTCAGAAAGGACCTAAACACTTCTGACCTGGTAAAAAATGTGAAAACTCCTCTCTCCAGGATTCCTCATTACAACTCGAGATTTTTCCAGTAAGAAGTTAGAGATTTTCCCTCCATCTGGTTCTCCACCTGGGCTAAACTGGATTTCAAAGTATTTCCCCTGCAATAAATAATTAAAGCTGTTGAATGATTAGTAAATACACATCTGAAATCATGCAGTTGTACTCTATCTCAAGGAAGGTTACAAGGATATTTATTTAATCTTTATGGATGCAGTGACACAGCTCCCTCAAGGTATAACTAGGCTTAGACTCCTGAACCATCACATATCTTTCTTTCTGTATTTACAGACCACTGGAGTTGGAATAATACATCACGTGTTAATGCAAATGTAGAGAGGAAGTCAGTGGCTTCTTTTCACTGCTGAGACTCTTGCTTAGTATAAAGGAAACCATAAGGCTCACCTATACAGGAAGTAAATTTAACAGATTTACAACCAATGGCAAGCAGAGTTCTGCTTGGAAGCAATGTAAAGAAATTATCTTTTTCTTTCAGGGAGACATTAATTGCATTAAGACACACGTTGGCTGTGGAACAAATCTCAGATTTGTAAAGTCTACATGAAACTTTAAAAAACATAACCTATAGTATGTTATCTAGTGAACAGTCATTTCACAATGTTATCTTAAGTATTTTATAACAAAAGACTGAAAATAATTCCTGCCTACTTTCTGCACATATCAGTAAAGGTATTTCCTATCAAACTCTACGGATAGTTTAATTTATTTTTTAAAAAGCACTTTTTTAGTTGTTGTAAAAACATGTATTACTGTATATATTTTACTGATCTGAAAAAACAGCCAGTTTGTTGCTGATAAGTTATTTGCTTGCAGGCTGAACTTTGTATAAATAAGTTTTGACCAGTACATATTGTGTAAGAAACAAACGCACAACGTATACAGAATGGAGGACACACTTTGTTTTAAAACACACTTTATATTTTACTTAGATTTACTTCATTTCTAGTGAATTTATATTCTACTCCTGAATACTGTCTCTGTAACACCACGTAAGTTGAACGAATAAAGAAATCTCTAAGGCAGAGGGACTTACAAATCTGCTGGAGTTGTTGTTCCGTACAGTTTTTGCATTCCCAAAGGCCTCCAGTAAAGGGTTGGACTGTAGAATGATATCTTTAACATGCTAAAATTTTAGGAAACAAAAAGAAACAGATTCAGAAATAGACAATTTAAAAGTTCTTATGGATTTTCTAGAAAACCATGACATCTTATTTATGTCATTAAAAAAGCAAGAAAGCTTACACCTGCAAGAAATCCTCCTGATCAGATAAGGAATAGAATATTTTTTTCAGAACTTGCTATACTATTTTCTGAAGAAAATACTACAAAATTGAACAAAATGCTCAAGGCTAAAAACTAATACTTCCGTTCACTGCTTTGCCAATAAATTGACCTGTTTTTTTTTCATCGTTGTGATTTTAAACAATTTCCTTGTAACACATGAGCATTTAAATCTTGGGGGGAGATCTGCAACCACAACCAATGAAGTCAGAGCAGCATGAAATTGCTCCAGCAATCTGTTTCAGGATCACTGATGCTGCTATCTAGCTGCCTTAGGAAGCAACAACGTGTGTTACTATTTGTCTCTTTATCTGATTCTAGGAGTTGGAAGTATGGACAAGTTATTAGCTTTGGAACAAACCAATGCATGCTGGGTTGTCAAGAGAAGATGGAATTCTATTTCTAAAGAAATACTCAGGATAACTTACCAACTTTCATTAACTGTTACTCTAATCACTAGGAATATTTTTAAATTTTGTGCAAAAATCTGGAATCTTTTAAACAATACAAAAATATTTACTTATAAAGTATGATTACATTGATTCCAAAAATAACACAATGCATACTTTCTCTGGATCATTTTCCTGATTACTAAATTATTCTCTGCAATGTTCCCACTATCACTGTTGCACAAAATTAAGCAGAAAGAACATACTCAACATTGCAGACTGCAATAAAGCAAAAAAATAACAGTGAGCACTCAAAAAGCGTGGACTAGTAAAAGTAGCTACCTACCACTGCCTGTCAGTCAATGTAATGTCACTAAGGGAATTTTTATGGCTAATTCACTCTATCAGCTTTAGTTAATAGGTTTTGATAGATAGAACAGACATTGATAGTATAGTTATTAACAAAAGGAGCTATTTGTTGTTTTAGCTAGCTTTCAGATACTGCTTTTGACTAGATAACCTCATAACACAAGATTATGTTCCTGCTGTTGGCACTCTGACATATGCATACAAATCAGATTTAATGGAAGTAATAAAACCCCCAAAAAAACAGTTCAGTTTTCAATAGAATGCCAACACAAGAGGAAAAAAACCCACACATCTACTAAAAGGAGATTAGTGGTTGTTAATGAAATTAAGAACAAAAAGTACCTTTTACCCCTTAACACACACACACAAGAAAAAGCAGCTTGTAGACATAATTCAGTGTGAGAGCTACAAAGCTTTTAGCAGAGACAATTCGGGGTCTGTGGGTTTCCCTCACGTGGCTCCCACAGCAGAGGCAGCCCAGCACTCTGCAACCGAGCAGTTCACTGCCCACTCCCTCTGCTCTTGAGGCCCCGCATGTATTTCTAGCTTCTTCAGTAGAGTGTGCCTCTTGTCTGCCAGTGTCTGCCAAGACATTCCTTTGTCAATCCACCTCTGCAGTAAATCTTTAGACTCTCCTTATGCTTCAGTATTACTCTATATCAACTCACCTGTACTTTAGGGCCGCCTCCTGAGATTTTTGAGATATAACTCATGATATATTTAGCAGCTACAGTCTTTCCAGCACCACTTTCCCCACTATGAAAAAAGGAACACAAAAATGTACCTGTTAAGTTTTTAAATAACTCTAGAATGGAGCACTTTGAGATTTATCTTGTTCAACACAGACTAGGTACCTTAACAATGAATAATAATAAATATACACCATATTTACATCAGGTAAGCTGGCAATATATAGACTGTGATATGGTACTGTAGCACAGCAACTGGATACGTTTGTGGATAAATAATTTTGAATACATCATCTTACATGGGCACCAGAATCTCTATGGGACTTCAAAGTCAGAAAACTATGTAGTCTGAGAAATAAATATACTTAACCAAGAGGCTCAAAGGAGAGCAAGTGTGTTAAGAACTCAATTCCCATCTAAATTTAGTGGAATTTCAGATCTTAACACAATAATTAATTTTAAAATCCAAGCTTTGAATGCCAAGCCAGATACCTCCTTCATTTTCAGGACCCTTTTGTTTTAGGTGTTCCCGAATGAAATAATGAGACATTACTAATCACATCCTGAATGACGGAAGAACTACCTTCCTGTTCCTATGCCTCTTGACACAGGGTACAAGAAATCTTAATATTCCATACTAGCTTTCACAATTCCTTCCGCTATAATATTTCACTTCAATGGTGAATAATGTTTACAACATAGCAGATTTGCCTTCTTGCAATTAGTAATGTTCTCCAGAGAGAAAGAAGATTGACATGCCAGACAATCCAACCTCGTGCTTTATTTCATATCTTAAAGCTAACTTCATTTCAATGGAATTCCTCCAGACTTACATAAATCTTGGTGCAAGTCAGCTTTGACCTTAATGAATTTACCCTGATCCGGACAACCATACTAATACAAAAAAACAACACATGAATGTTGGTTCAATGTCATAAAGGTATGTGAAATATTTTTTTTTCTTGTGTGAAAATCTGTGCTATCTTTAAGCTCCCGAATAATTTCAGTGAATGTTGTTGACTCTTCTATCCTGCACCTACTTGTTCCTGGATATGGATTCAATGAACATCTTTTCCTGCACAAATTTTAGCTATGCTTGCCAGAGAAACATCAGCATGTCCTGCACAGGAAAAGGACTTGCTGAGAATGTCAGCTCAGAGCTCCTTATCAGCATGAGTAATGGAGACATTTCCAAAGGTTTAATTCTGAAAAAGTTCCCCAAACTGCCAAGCTATAAATATCATTTTACAACTTTAAAGCTTCCAAATAGTACAGAAATACTGAAAGCCTTTTCATTTTTCCCCAGAAGCATTTTTATGCTTTTGTCTGCTCCTGACTGCAGTTTTACAGATCAAACAGGAAACTTGAAAAGGTGAAAAAATACTTGTTGATCACCTCATCTGTGAGGTGCGGACTGCAATTTTTATTATTCCAAGTCATCTCTTCTGAAGCATCAAGAAGAAAGCCTGTATTATTGGTATCTACTAAATTCACAGGGACAGACGAGAATTTGCTGGGAGGTAAACTGTATTTAGAAGTTCAAATTGCAATAGTTCAATAATTAAAATAACATTTCTTCAAAATTCTGTCACCTTGTTGTAAAACAAGGCAGACAAACCAATCTAAACCAAATCATACTCTTCAGTTTATATATGCAGTTTTCAGCTGAACACAGAGGAGAATCCAGGGCCAAACACAGAATCAATTTCATTAGGCATTACTTATCACACAGTAAAAATGTAACACATTTCTGTAAGATTCTCCTTGAAGGCATAAATTATTCTTCTCCTCTTTGTTCAAACTAAGCATGGTTTATATTTCTTATTCCAGTGTCTGCCAGAGAAACTGACCTGGAGCAATATAGTTTCATTTTACTGTTAGTCTCTGCTTTGATATAAGTGGTCCTTTATATCAAATTAATTTGGCCAAAAGACTGCCTTTCAGAGTTTATTATGTACACATACACTTTCAGTTTTACGCTTTTATTGATCAGAGACCAGTAAATTGCTGCAATTAAACTAGAATAAAACAGGATAATGCATTATTTATGAACCAAAGTAACTTTACCTGATGGGAGGGTATCTTGCCCCCAGTGAAGCTCAGGTAGTCAACTGTAACAGGGAAACTGTGGCATTCTTGCTAAATGATTCTCACACAGCTTTTTTTTATATATCTCACTGCTCTGCTGCTATTAAAACTACTTTAAGAAGATAGAAGAATCATTTTCTAGCTTGGTAGTTTTAAGTATGTAGGAAGCACAGAGGTTTTTAAAGGTTGAAAAAATTATTATAATGGCATAAAGTGGATTGTGTTACTAACAATTTTCTCAGAGACTTTTCTTACTAAAAATAAACACATTACATAGTCTCAATCACTAACAAAAAAAATCATGCTTTGCAAGACATATTGTTGCTTCTAGTACTACTTGCTACTTCATAGAAATGACATTTTGTTCAGCAAAGTCAATTAACAGCTGAAATCAGAATAAGACTACCAATGCAGAGGGAAAATGTTTTGCTCTTTTCTTCCTTCCCAGGGGAAATATGATTAGTGATTACAGTGAAGCAGCAAGATCCAATACACAGCCTCATCCTTCTCTCTAAAATTAGTTTTCTGATAACATTTAATATAGTATTGCTGGCTGTAGAACAATACAAATAATACTTATCTACATCACCAAGAAAATGTATAAATTATAATAACAAATATTTATAAAGAACTCCTGGATTTGCCAGTAAATAACATTGCATGTGTGAAACACTCCGATGTGTGGATAAGCTTTTTAGTTTGTTTATGTAGCAAAATATGTTCAGAGAAGCCTTAGAAGCATAACTTCAGTGAAATATTTGCCCCTTCTGAATCAGAGCTTTTACCTAACTCTTCTTACTGTGTTAGATTCAAGTTTCTATCACCTCCTCATTAAAATTCAACCATATTTCCCATTAGATTATGCACAGATGTTTTAGAATGATCAGTCATTTGAGTCTTCTGGAAAGCTGAGATACAGAAGCTGACTAGAGATCTCATATTAAGTTTTGGACTTAATAGACCTAAGATAGACATAAACTGTCCACTAACAACAGTTGGGATGGTAAACAATCTTCCAATTAATGTGCATTTGTAGTATTTAAAGATGTATGGGTTTTTTTCAGGTATGCAGTCCTCATACACAGTTTTACTGTACTCAAACGCTACCACCTGGATGTAAAGTGTAAACTAAAGTTACAAATAAGAAGGACTGAATAACCGCTTTAAAGCAACTGCAACATCTCCTGGCAAAGATCACAGAAAGAAAGTGAAAATAAAGTCCTTAACTTTACAGAAAGGTAAAATCTTAAGAACGCTCTAAAGAAACACATTTATTGCTACATCATAGAAAAATACTAATCACAACCTCCATTCTCTTAATTAAAGGACAATGATAGTCCAGAAGGAATTAAAAGCCACAACAGACAATCCTTTGTAATTAAAATCTTGACTGGACAAATCCTTGTTGATACTGTGGAAGGGCTGCCATTTCACAAGGGTGGAAAAAATGCCAACACTCTGGTGTAGCAAGCTTGGTTCAATAGAAGCTTAAATTAAATATCACGCCTCAGTAAAACACAAACAATGCGAAATCAAACTCCAGCGTAACTGCCTTACTTGTGTGAGTAAATTCCCTCTGCAATCTTGCCCGGTGCACACAAGGGAAGACAAATGCGGGCACTGCTCCCTCCTCCCACCTGAGCACAGGCTCTGCACCTGCAGGCAGGCAGCCAGAACCCAGCCCATGGGTAACCTCACTGTTCACACCGTCAGCAGCCATGCCAAACAGCTTGCAGCTCCTCAGCTATCCTCAGACGCGTACGTGGGACTGTTCTAATGCATACGCATATATGCTGCAATCACTCCACTAAAGAAAGAGGCTTTTTTCTTTTTAAAACATTTTTTCTTTTTAAATCAGTATTACCACATAAAAAGATTCAGCCTTTCAGAGAACTGTATTTTCTTTTGGATCTGCCTTCCCAGTTCATTCACTGACTTTTTGAAGAGGATGAGCTTTTTCTATCAGTGTCTAAATGCATTATTTGGAATTCTGGAATTAAATGTCCTGGCAAAAGGGTGTGCGCTCCTCACACAGACACAGGGTCCTGACTAAAGGAGGACACTGCAGGAACCTTCTTCACCTGCCTAGAAATCTGTGTCTAGGAATGCATGTCCCCTCCCAGGTGCAGAGGCAGATGCCACAGATGCCCAAACCACATGCTGCAGAACACACAGGTGTGCAGCAACCCCTTCCCTGTCCTCCTTGTGTCCCCATTCCTGAGACTTCATGTGCACCACAAGCCAGACACAGCCTTATTGATCTGACTCCAATTCAGTCCAGTCTACACCTTACTTCTTACCTTCTCTCTTTGCAAACCTTTCCTTAGGGGGGAAAACTGCCATCTTGGT